GACCATATTAATGTAACAACTGNACCACCATGAAGAAGCAATGACCAAACATTTAAACNCGTTTCTTTGCGTTATCATCAAAGTATGTATTCATCCCCGTTTCATATGATACCCCTAAACAAACCCAGTTCAACCACTAATATCCAACCACTAATATCCCAATCATTTAATTAAAATATAGTCAACTTTGTGTGTTTTTATTTCACTATAAATGCAGATATTCACTGAAGGAATTTGAGGTTTATTTAAGAACATCAATGAGCGAAGAACATCATAAAGACTAAGGATGACAGCAGAAGGTCAGCAAAAGGTTCTGGAGAAGCTTAAAGAAGTTCAGGTTGTAAAGTAAGTTCCCAGTTAGAACCATTAGAGAGGAACCAACCAGGACGTGGATGTCCACTTAAACCAACAGGAGAGCATTAATCAGTCCCTTCAGGATGATGACATGTTTTTTGTTATGGTCAAAGTTGCAGTTTTTTAGCTTTATTTTTGCAATAACGTATCTTACAAAAAAGTTAAAATTGCTGCACATGACCTTCACTTTCGTTCTCTTTTTCCTCATCAAGTAAATTTCTCCTTACCTGAGAAGATCCTGCGTCATCGTCCTGCTGCTGGACTCTGTTGTTTCCTCCCTCACTCTTTGTTCTTCCTGTTGTGGTATTAAATATTTATTTTAAATATATGCAAAGCAACAGTGAGCACAACTTCTGCACAGAAATCAAAGTGGATTGAGTTTATACATCACATTAACTGACTAGCAAGGAATGTAAAACAGATAACATTACTGCAAAAACATAAAATCTTACCAAGTTGGCCCTCAAAACTATCTTGAGGGCCAACTTGGCCCTCAAAAAATTAGACCAAAACTAATTTATATGTAACTTTTCAGCAAGACATAAGAACTTTGTTTTAAGTCCGTAATTCCTTAATATTGATTAAAAAAAAGTAATTATTCTTTATTGGCAGATTATTTCACTTATACCAAGACATGTTTCCCATGTTAAAAGGGAACATGGGAAAAATGGAACTGCAACATTTTCATAAATATTAAGGAATTGTAAGAACAAACTCCTATATCTTGCTGAAAAGTTACTTGCAAGTTAGTTTTGTCTAATTTCAGGTGTACCAAGACATTTGCATAGAAACGAAGTCAAAATAACTTGGTAAGATTTTGTGTGTTTGCAGTGAACATTAGCATTCTTGGTAACGAGCTTAATATTGTGATCTTCCTTAAATAATGACCTATATGTCATTTTTATCCACAAGTTATCTTGGTAAAACAACCACCACCTCTTTCTTTCCAAAATATGTTTTAGGGGAAAAAAAATAATCACTTTTGGCAAAAAGAGTCAGGCCAGTACTTTAGGCAGGTGACAATGTGAAATGAAGACATAAATTAGTCATCATTTAGCTAAAGTTATCTAAATGCAACAACATTACTCAACTTACTTGGTTTGTTTAGAAGCAAACTCAGCAAAGATTTTTGCATTTTGGCTCTGGCTAATTGCTGAACATGACACACACTAAAGCTCGGTTTAGCAGCAAGTTTCCCCTCTGTCATCAGACCAC